AAAAACAAACAAACTTAAATGACAGTTATGTGAAGAGTCCCTTCTGGGAACACGGGCGAGTACCTGCAACAATTTCCAGCGTGTGTTGAGATCCTCAATGCATTTCAGGTTGTTGGGCGACAGCTGGATTTCAGGCAGAGTGAAAGTGGACGCCAACTGGTTCATGTGCGTTACGTCTTCCTGTATGGGAGCGATCTCTTCCTGGAACTCCTTTGCCACACACGTGTCAAAACCAAGGAAGTTACATACGGTTCACGGTAACGACGGTTTGTGCGGACAAACCACAAGCGTACCTTGACTCTTCGGATGTGCTCGGGCAGCGAGTCGATGAGAAGGTCCCCGACAGGCTCCCAAGCGTCCTTGACCATCTCCGCCTGTCTCAGCTGGCCATCCACGAGGTCCTCTGCCTCCAGGAGCTCCATCAGCCGCTGCAGAGCAAGCTCCAGCCTCCTCAGCCAATCGGCAGAGTTGCTATTCAGCTGCTCCCATTTGGTCGTCACGTCATTCGCTTCCTTACGCAGGAGTCGCCCGACATTTTGGGCGCGCTCCACGGAACCCATGTCTGAGGTACGAACAGGGACTCAAATCAGATTTAGGTCATGCTAAACAATCCGGAATATGTCATGATAGTTCAATGTCAAACACGGGCTAGGGAAGTTATCTTCTGTCAAGAGGATTTTAGAAAACAACTTACAAAAATGTTTAAAATGAACTCTTTGTGACGATGGTGTCAGCCAAAATGGCCTTTTACAGTGAATACAGAGTTGGCTACACATAATTTTAGCGACTCGAGACACCTTGTACCTCATTTACAGACGTTAGCATTGTCGCATAGCTAGCAAAAGCATTGTCACAGATGACCAGGACAGGACAACAACATCGCTCAAGTCGGTATATTTTCATTAAAAAAAAAGTTGAGACTTGTTTGATGCCATCAAAACCAAAAACCAAAGACACCTGCTGACTTTGAGCAGGCTAAATAAAGAAGAGCAGGTCCCGTAGCTACACAGAATAAAATGTCACAGACTCAGTTCTTAACAGCTGGATTCCGGCCTCCCTCGTTCCATGACGTCCAGTGGCTCATAAAACCTTGGCAGTAACTGGGCTGTTGCCATGGTGCCACAAAGTTTGTTTGATAGCCTCCACATGTGACCATTGCTATGTGAATGCCAGGGCCC